CTTGAAACTGACGTCACCAAGACCAGACACAGAGGCCGACGACTTGGTCTTTCGAAGTTGGAGCCGGTGAGCGAATCGCGAAGTTATAATGTGCAACTGTGATCCGGAATCGAGCAGTGCACGGCAAGGTACCCAAGTCCCGGCGCGATTTTGAATGCTGATGACAGCGGTGGCCAAGAGCACAACATCTGAGCCGAGATTTTGGGCAGGCAATGAAGCAAGCGATGATGGCGAAACAGCTGCGAGAGCGCTACGTGGCAGTAACAATGAAGACGGCCGCGAGTGTAAGTCAGAAGCGGACGATTGCTCAGGCATCAAATTTACGGCAGCTGAATTATTAAAATGCAATAAACTGTGATGTTTGGCACCACAGGTTCTGCACGATCCAGAATTGCAAGTTCTCATTCTGTGTCCCTTTCTAAGACAATTTATACACAGAGAGAGGCGTTTCGCTTCCTTTAAACGAAGTACAGGCGACAAATTACCAAAAAGTGGGCAACTGTATATTTCGTGTGCATTATTGTCACAAAACAGACAACCATTTGCGGATGGGTTAGTGGCGACAAACGAGCGTTTGGTGTTAGTGTTTTTATTCTTTCCCACCTGATAATTCGACGAATATGATGCCATTGCATGCTCGATGTTTTCCAATTTTTGACACCTGCTATCCAAGAACGTCGCAAATTGCTCCCACGACGGTATAACGTTCAATGGGGCGGCTTCCTCCCACTTTGCCTGCGTCGCAGCATCCACCTTGCCCAAAATTGTCTGAACGACGATGCTGCCAGCTACATCTTGCATATTGCCCAAACTCAACAGTGCACGCATATTTGCGTTGACTTTGTCGGACAACTCTCGCAGCTTGCTTGTAGTTTCAGCCCTTTTAATGCCCAAAATCTCGGAGATGTGTGCCTGGAAAATAAGACGCTTATTGTTAAACCGCTTGTCGAGTAGGTCTAACGCCACTGAATAATTTGCACCACTTATCTCAAGCGCACGAATCGTGTCCAACGCAGATCCTCTTAAGCTTGACCTCAAATGCTGCAACTTTTCCACATCGGAGAGATCTGGATCCTTGGCGATCACTGATGTGAACATCGAAGAGAAATCTGCATATTCAGTATATCCACCACTGAATGTAGGCAACTTAAGCTCAGGCAAACGAGACCGATTTATCACAATGGTAGACTGATCATCTTGCCGAAGCGTCGAACACGGCGGCGCGCCAGATTGCATCCTTTGTATTGTATTTAGCAGGCGGCCCTCCAAGCAGACCACCAGCTCAGCAAAGTTGCAGCGCAAACTGCTGCCAATCTCGTCAAAGTCCAGCTCCTCTAATTTGTCATGCACCAAATTAAAAGAGGCCTGAATACTTTGCAGCATTTCCACACGTTTTCGCAGCTCACTTTCTGAAATATTGTCAATTTCACAATCATTTATTTTATTTTGAATAGAAAGCGCCCACGCATATAATGATTGCGCCTTGCGCTTATAAAACTCAACACTATTGCTCGTAGCCTGCACTGCATTGCCCACAGCTGTTGACGTCGAAGCTGTTGGCGCAAGCGTCGCTGCATCAGCTACGTCAGCAGCAGCTGATGCGACAGCTTGGAAGGCGCGCATTTGACCGTCGCTCTCAGACATTATGAACGCGAGAGAGAACCGAAAACCGAAAATAGCAGAGATAAATGACGCGCGCGAATAACTGTTTTATCTGCTGATGTTCGTTGCCCTCAAAAACGTCGCTTCACACGGCTGCTTATTGGCGGTACAGTAGGCACTATGAACTTATACTTTTGCACTTATGTACTTGAATATTTTTTGTGTACAATGAACTCAATTATGTACGCTTTTGTTTTTTAACGCGATTAAGCAAGGTTTTGTGGAATTATTAATCACGTCGGGGTCACCAAAATGTATGCAAAATAAACATTTGTGCACCTCTTTTAAATTGAACAATTTCGTTTCGCTTATTTTGCAAATATTTCGCCAACATAATTTCGCATATTTGGAATCATAAAAAAGCTTATGATTATACACGCTATATGAACTAACGCTTGACTACCTCACATTAAGTTTCCTTTACTGTTTCCAATCTTTATAAAATGGTTTGAAGGATGTTAAAGGGCTTATATCTTCCGTTGATGGCATTAAGGATCAGCACATCGCTGAGTACATGTCTATGTAGTGAAGGAAATATAATTTTTGTAGACTTTTGTTACTAACCTCGTTCGTATTTATGCCACTGGCTGTTGGCTGCAACAAAATACCAAAGTAAGCGAAATATGTGTTGTCCTGACATCGGCACAATCACAGACAAAGGCGCAAGTAGAAATGGGCAAAACGCACGTCTTGCCATTATATTTGACCCGCTGCACATACACATACATACATACACACACACACACACACACACACACACACACACACACACACCCATACAAGCACACTTTGTAGCTGGCAGGCTATGGCTTAAAGCTAGAAATGGCGTCACAGCCACCAGCATGCTCGAGCCCGCACTTGGGCATCCGTTTTAATAATGAGACCCATTTCGTTGGATATGTTTACTTTGAAAACGACAACAACGAACTACGTTGACCGCGTTGCGTCTTTTACCTCAGTTGCAGCGTATGTTGTAAACGGTCGAGCGCCATGGCATCATCTGCGCTATGCAAATGCATGTTTACATTATACCCCCCTGCGTAAATTGCAGTGAAACATACAAACATCCGAGCACACAAGCATACAGCCACGCACACCCGTTCACGTATCCAGACACGGTCAACAGAAGCGATGCGGCAGAAATAACAACAATGCCACTTCAACGCCATGCATCGTCCACAGAAATTCTCGATGCACCAACACCAACACACATGCTTGAGGACCACGCCATGTGATGTATTTTCAAATGAAATTACGTACACTTTCGAAGAATGTAGTAGGCTTTCACAAGCTCAACCATAAATCATAGTTCCGAGAAAAGCAAAAGCACTAAAGATGGATTGATTCGGTTTGGGGCAAAGGTTCAATGCTCCCCATGGTCCTAAAACATGAAATGCTTCCCTCTACCAATGGCTCCACGGTTGCTAAAAGATATTGTAATTCGATGTTGGTGCAATTTTTGGAGTTAGTGGGGCATTCGTAAAATCTCAAAAATAGCCTAACAAATTTTCCTAGTAGAGTGATTTTTGCGCCCATGCCAATCTTATGGCAGATACGTGAGAAGATTTTAAAATTTTAAATTTTTCTGGTTTGTGATAAACTTCATTTATAGTAGAGTATACAATTTGCATTTCAATTTATACACATAAATAACTGTAATCTACACTTATATATTAAAGGATTACGCGCAAATAGATTGATTTACATAATCATCTCTTTTAGTTTATTTTGCTAGATAAGGAAAGCGAGTCCTTAGGAAAACTCGACACCGGTATTTGAAAAATTATGAGCTACCCCACAGTCTGGAATCAATTGGATTTCTGTTTTAATAGAAAAGCTTATGAATATATTTCCAAAAAAGGAATGATGTATGCCTGTCCATAAATTTATTCGTGCATCATTCAACGCCTGCCAGTCAGTGTTAAAAATTCAATTAAACTGTATACATAGGAAGCACAAACCAATGGCAATGTATGGCTTTCAACAACAGTTCGCCGGCTGCTTTGGCTTGACAGCTCCCCCGACATGCGTGTCAAAACAATTGTCATTCATTTTGCAGTTGCGCTCCTTTCTGCTCGATTGTATGGCAAAGGCTATCTGCGAATGTATGTATGTCCTTTATGTCCGTGCGCATGTATTCCATGCAATTATGGTCCTGTGACATGTGCTAACATCCATGAGTAGATAGTGGGAGGCAGACTGCATGGCACTTAACATTTCCGCCCGATATTTGGTTCATTTCCCGCACGCACACAGAGAGCAAATAGACAAACGAACGACCAAACTGGTTGGCTGGTTAGACGACCTTTCAGCTCGATTTTGTATCTATTTCAGAATGCTGCAGAGGACGCTGCGTGGCCACCTGTCAAGCCGATATCATGAATCAATATACATATACATATACTTGTATATCTGTGGAACTAACTCAAATCACAGCTCAGACGCCAACTGGCATTTTACACTTTTTATTTGAGTGGCAACGATACTGTCCCCTACTGGTACCTTGATTACTCTTTTCGCATTATTTTCCACTTGAAATGTGCCGTGTATCGATCTGCTGGTAAATCGCACACAAACACGCACAAGCGGTCATTATCATCTTTAGCCATTATGTCACACTTTGCCGTCACTTTACATGGTACAGTCTTGTGTATCACGGCGTATCGTGTTGTTTGTGAGGCAACGAGTGGCTTTTCTAATGTCCTTTCATCGTCATAACTGAAATTCTGGGTGGTTTAGGTGTAGCCTACATTACTGGCCATTTTTCAGTTCGCTTGCCAGCCGTTGCCAGCACAATTTTACGCTCATGTTGTTGCCTCGCCAATGGCACACATTTCAAAAGCCACGCTTGCTCACCCGCATAACCCACACCGAGGTAATTGATGTTGTATCGATGTGTTGTTGAGCAGTTATCAATTCTCGTTGCTCTGCCCTATATACACGTACTATACATACTATATGTATGAGTATGTACAGTGTATGCTCACAATTTAGAGTTTTCCAAAGTTTCAACTTTTTATAAATGAAAACCAGCGTTGCAAAAGCACAACCTGAATCTTTAATAAAAGAAAAGTATAATATTTATGGTATATTGATATATAAAAAAGATCTCAGTGAATACGATACGAGTCAGTGGAGAAATCTCACCATATACCCATCAATATATAAATAATATATTTAAAAATTAAATTTTCCGCTCCCGACGCTCACAACAAGCCAAAAGAGGCCTAAATTCTTGTTGACTGGAATGTTTTGCCATAAAAAGTAATGCAACGAATTGTCTTAGTAAGCTAGGAATTTATCAAAAGTTTATCAAACTATTTTCTATATAACTAACACAAACACATTTCGAATCAGCCTCCAGTAGCTTGGAGATGCAGCTGTCAGTCAAATTGCTGTTATCAATTATGGCAGCATTCATCATCTTGGTAAGAAACTATGAGAGCTAGTTATATCGTTTCTGCATAACTAAGTTTACAACAAAAAATATAGGATCAAGTAAAATACAGCAAAGCTATGGCGATTCCAGAAACAAGGCATGAATCAGGGGCAACTGGAGCTCAGACATCGACTGCATCCGCTGAGAGAAGATCGGTTCGGCACATTGTGCGGACGAAACGTGAGACTAATGATTCGCCACTAGACTTTATCACAAGCCATATGCCTTGCGACATGGATATGAGGAATCGTGGGCGGCTTATGCGGAACTTGCCTAATCACTGCATTTGGACATACAATAACCGATATGCCTCGGAGAAATTGTTTCGCATGTATAAGTCTTATCAGCTGGAGGCCTTCTTTTTTGGGCAATATTACGAACGCTTTAAACGTTTCGAGATTGATCCGCACATTTACGACTATGATGTGGAGCATGATTAATGAAAGCCTTGGCTAAGTTAAATATGTGTCTGAGGTGTAAATGGTTATACACTATATATATAATAAAGTAGACATTAGTAGTAGAGCCACTGAGCTACTTCTAATATTTATATAAGCATTCACATCAGCAATGCAATGTACACATACATTATTTCTTTTCATAGCAAAAGTGGCATGCATATATAAGGCAGATAGACAGCTAAGCAGCACGGTAAACACTAAATATAGTGGTTTGATACATAAGGCTTATAAAAGCCAAGATAGATACCACCTTTGAAGCAGATGGCAAAATGTGTAACATCGGGCATTTGCTTACTGAAATAAATGCTGGAGAGCTTCGTTCAAGAGCCCACTGACTTATTCATGTTTTCATTTAATTTATTGTTATGAACTATTTTTCAACCAGGAATACCTACAGTCGTTACATACATTTGTCCCAATCGTTCAACGTTTGCGTTATTAATAAGTTATTTTTAATTTTTGAACAAATATTAAAAGTATATTTTCATAAACTAGCTAGTTTTCTGATTCCTCTCATTCTCACTTAATGAATAATTCGGTAATTTCTTTAGAATTGGACCGAATCCGTTTTAATTTCATTCAAAGTTATTATTTAATCATTTTCTCAATTCTTAGTAGTCATTTTAAAAGTTTTCAAAGTTAATGTCACACATTCGGTTCTGTGCTCATTTGATTTTTTCGTTTTCGACTCACACGAACTATTGTAATTGTTCTTTGTTCAAGTAAAGCATTACCGTAGTTAAGATAGAATTCCCAATGTATTTATCACTAAATTTGCTGTTACTAACTCACGCGGCTCTGCTTTTGCTGGTAAGTGCCAAAGTCTGATACACTCCCACTGTTTTTTTACGATACATGCTCAATATCCGTAGTTTAACGTACAATGCGGTCATACCATGCGCATTTCTACAAGTGCGAAGGAACAGATCACCCCTCAGACCAAAGTCGGTGAGAATAATAAAACGTCGACCGCTCAGGAAATGGATAAATTGAATGCCACAAGTCCCGCTCCCAGTTCCCAGCCTACGCAACTCAATCTTATTACAGCTACCACAAAAGTGGCGGATACAGAGAAGTCAACTACAAAGAAGCCGCAACACGTAGTACGCATTAAGCGCCAGAATGACGTGCTTATGCCATTTGATTTCCAGACAAAGCATATGCCCTGCGACTTTGATATTAGAGGCCGGATACGGCTTATAGAGTATATGCCGAATCATTGCATCTGGATGTGGAACAACAAATATACACACGAGGGATTCTTTCGCTATTACAAATACTACCAGCTAGAGGCTTTCTTCTTTGGCCAGTACTATGAGCGCCTCAAGCGTTTCGAAGTTGACCCTCACTCCTTCGACTATGGAGACGGATCGTAACTCACGTATAGCAATCGATTTATTTAAACAGTGAACAGATAAAACTGTAGCAGTCTATAGTACATGGCTTAGACCAATTTAAGCTAACACATACTTGTATATAATAATAAATGATATTAGATATACATATATATATTTACCAGTTTCCTTCTTATTTAAGTGAAATGTGAAAAACATTCAATCATATTTGAAAAGATTTGAAGCAGTTTGCCGAGCCATTACCTTACTTACTTCCCTTACCTCTCCCACGAGCATTCTTTGATATTTTCAACCAGAAACCACCAGCTGTCAACTCATCTCTCGATGACTACTCTGACGTACTTGAGAGCAGTTAGAAAAATGCCTTGACAACCATTCCAAATTGAATTCAATGCAAGCGGAAATTTGATATTTTTGAAAAGGTTTTGCGCTTTACCAGCTACGCTGCCAGCAGTGCAAAGTAATGTTATGAAAAAGCTACAAAACGCTGAGCAGCTGGTCATTTTCCCACAGCTCCTTTTGAGTTTAGGAAAATGGAATTGACGGCAGACATCAAAGCTGAGGCACAGGCGCCCCGTTTACTCCCTATTTCCATTGAAATCCAAGGAGCCTGAGAACCATGTCTCCAAATTTTGTATGTAAACATATATATATATACATAAATTGCACAACTAAGTAACTATATACACCACATACATACATGAACATAAAGGTTTGATTTTCTGCGTCACCTGCAATACAAATAAATTAGCCAGTGTTATGGGAGAGGAAACGATTAAAGCAATGGACGCTAACGACGATCAAATACACGAGTTCGAGCTTGCGTTTCAAATATTATATAGCGGAGGCACTCGCCGCTTCACCATCAAGGAGCTGGACACTGTAATGCGCGCTCTTGGACATACGCTCAGCGAAAACAAATTGGAGAACATGATCAGCGAGATGGACATTGCAGGCAAGGGCTCCATTGGATTTCCAGAATTTGTTAGCATGATTTCTCGAAAATTAAACGAAATGGATTATGATGACGAGTATCGGGGGGCTTTTCACGCATTCGACAAGGACAATAACGGCTACTTATCTATTGCTGAGCTGACCGAAGTCCTCATAGGCTTAAGCCTTAAGTTAAATGAGCACGAAATCAAGGAGATAATGCGCAGGGCCGATCACGATCAGGATGGCCAGCTAAGCTATAATGAGTTTGTATACATGATGATGACCATGTCCCTGTAGCCATTATTTGAGTACTTATTTCGGGAAAATATTGATCAAAATTAATATATCGAAAATATATAAGTATGTTTTAGCTTCAGCACATCCAATTCGAATACTTTTCTCATTTGGATTTCAAATTTGTTGGCAGAATCCTGATAGGCCTATATGAGTAATGTGTGTATGCGATTTATTCATTATGGCAATAGAGTACTATAATCAATCAAATGTTTTTTCGCTGCTAAATTCATTTTGCAAACCAAATAAGGTGTATCATGTCAATAGTTGCGTGGGCCAAGCTGAAGGGCGCCTAAGTGAATTGGTAGCGAGGCGGGAGGCGGGGTTATTGTTAAATGCTGATGGGGTCGTTTTTATCTTTAGTAACTCGTTTCGCAGCACTAAGCACACAGCAGAAATAACAATGTATTTCATACAATATTTGACGAGCATTTGTGTAATTTGTAATTTTTGAGCATCATCAATCAACGGCAGCTGTCGTTGAGATTTGTTCGCTATCCCTGTCGAGTTACGCTCTCGCACATTCTCTTTGCACATTTGTCGGACTTTGCATTGATTTATCGATGACTTGCCTAAATGAATACAAGTTTCAAAGGACTTTAATTAGGCAGGTGTGCAGTAGCAATAGCAGTAATACAAGTAGTACACCCAAATCACTTTTGTGGCATGATTTTGCGCTTTCCACAATTTCGAACGTTTGCATTTTTTTTTCATTTACGTGCAATATGCAAATGTTCAAAGGCCAATGCAAAGTAGCCATACAAAAGGACTCTGTTCAGTTACGACTTCCTTTTTCATCTTTTTCCCATTTGCTTCTTGCAATGTGCCACTAAGCCGTGGCAGAGTAATGTGGCATTGTTGTGATTTTTATGCTCTATGCGGGTTTTTCTCGTTCCTTTTTTCACAAATTGATGCTATTTTTATACACATAAATACGTACTATATGTATATAAGTATATACAGTGTATGTGCATCTGTATATATATATTTGTTTTTATTGTGGAACAATTGTTGGTATACTTACGACTATTGCATGTTGCCTGCATATATTTTGTTGTAATATGAGCAAACAGACAAGGCCATTGAACAAAGAAGCACGCTCTGAGCTATGCAAGGCAAGGTTTCATTTGCCTTTTTATATTAACATTCCTTTCAATGGGTGGCGGCGCACTATTAGGGATTGGTTGGTACGTGAGGGAACGGGGGAAAGGACTGCTGTTGCTGCCAAATAACGTTGAAAATGCGTATACGTATATAAAATATTTCAATACGACTCGCCAAAATACAGACAAAGCGACAGACGGAAGAACCTACACACAGAAAATTTTCAAGTACGATTGGTGCGCTTGCTTTTTAAAATCATGAAATAATAGACAGTTCTAAGTCATTTATTTTATATCTTGAAAAAAAAACTTAAAGATTTTATTTGCTTTGCTTTTTATTGTTTTTAATGTTAATATTATTTATTTCCTTAATTAAGATAACCAGACTTAAGCAGACTTAAGACTTTTCTTGATCCATTCCATATATGTATATTATTAATATGTAATAATATGTAAGGGATCCAATATTTACATTATCAGAGATGAATAACTTCATTCAAACCACAAAACGGCTTAAAACTTGAATACAGATTAGCTGTCTAGAATATTTCGATACATTTGCTGAGTGCATGTACATACCAAAGAAAGATACATATATGTATGTACTTGTATATAAGAATGTATGTATATTAGTACCTAAACCAAACACAAATTCCGTTTTAAATTATTGTCTCTAACTGTGACGCTGGCTTGACTGCGTTGCTTGACTTGATGGCTGGTTGCGTTTGCTGGAAACTTTTCCACATGAACAGAGTGAAAAGTTGAAATTGAGTTTCGTTAATGCAGACGCGCACACATACTCTCGCACACACACACACATACACAATCCAACAAACACAGACACTGAAATATTTTTGTGGCGATAGCACAAAGACAGTGTTAGCATTGTAAAGCGAACATTGACGCCGACGCCAATGCTGATGCTGATGCTTACACCGCCAGCAGCAGCAAGTCCCTGAGGAAAAGTTTTGCGCAGTCAACAACAAAAGTGTGGCGCAGATGAATTTACAAGCAAAAATTCTCTGGCGAGTTGACGGTCTGGCTGCCTGCCTGACTGCTTGCCTGCCTCCTTGCCAGACTGGCAGCTGTGGTTATAGAAGAGTAAAGCACTGAATCTGCACTTAAATTGATGTAAAGGTTGCCCACCTGCGATAGACGTTAAGTAATAGCTCATCAAAATATTCTGGCAATTGTTTCAATTTTTCTCTAAAAGCGATTTAATTAAATTTATGAATTGCACTTCTTTTTGACAAACTCTATTAGTATTGATGTCTTCTTGTCATTTTCAGAGCAATTTCCTACTACTCGTATATGGTATAACAATAATTGCTTCATTATGTATTAATTTATAGCAGCTATTTATTATCGTACTTCATAAGATTTAACAGCCGTAAAACCTCAATCTTTAATATCAACAATCTGGAAGAAACAAACATTCTTTAAAAATTGCGTTTAAGTATATTGTTATCAAAATGCGTTTTACACAAATTTGTTCTGCGCTTGTAAAAAACTTTGCAACCGTTTACAACAACTTGCTTGTTGTAACAGTTTAGTTAATTTCAAATTCAAAAACATGTAATTACAAAGACCTGTATAAACAAAAGCAAAAATTTAAGCAAAAAGTATTTGAGATGTTCAGGTTATGCTGCTGCGCCATTGCTGCGTCTCGCTTGTGGACTTTGTTGTGTAAATATTTTTGCCATTAAAATTTCATAAATTATATTGCTACGTTTTGAACGCGTTGAATTTAAATTTGAATGGGAAAGGTTCGTGACACGTACATTTTCGAGCAAGTTCATTTATATTTGTTGGCTTGCAAAAGTGCGCCCCTAAAAGTAGGCAACAACTAATGCTTCTAAAAATTGTGCCGCTTGTGCGTATTTCAGAGTTTTCTCAGCTTTATTTATTTATTTCCGGAAACGCGCCCTTGAGATTTTGCTCGCAAACAGCAAAAGAGGGGTCCGAAACAGCCCCAATGAGCCCCAGTGCCCCACATCAACTCAGCAGCTGGCCATTGGATGCGCGTTTTGCGGCCAGCAACGCTGCTTAGTTAGCATAAATATACAAACACACAATCACATAACCCCACACAGCCCACACCCCCACAGCGTCACTACTTCTGTGTTGTTCATTAAGTTTCGCGTTTGTCAGGCATTTTGTTTTATTTCATTTCGCACTCTGTCGTCCAGAAAGCGACACGAAACGGCACGTGCGCAGTTATGTATACTTTGTCTAGTTAAAAAATTGTTCATGGACACACACACACACTGCCAGAAACACAAGCCAACGCCACCATTGCCTGCTGGGCGTAATGAAAACACAATAAAAATTTTGCGCTTTTCTGATCTCTCAAGTGGCTGTGAAATTTTGATGAGTTTGCCCGCTTCAAGGAAATGCTTTAAAATAAACAGGCGTGAGCGAACATCTGCGGCCCATTGCCACCATTGGTCAAGGGTGGATGTTTAATATGGCACGGCGTATTCAGCTCCCTACGCAGCACCACGCAGCAAACTAATTACAGTTGGCCAAATTGGTTCGCAAATAGGCTTTAATGCCAGCAGGCCTGACATAATAGAGTATACACTAGTTATACATGTATTTTAAGCATGAAAGGAGAATGCCTTTACCCACTTTTTTAGGCAAATTTTTTTTAAAGAAACTAATTTAAAAAAATTATTTTAAATTTAAAAATACATAACACGTGCATAGAGTCGTACAGAACGACAATATGTGTGTCTGTGTGCGTGCGTGCTTATCAAGAATATATATACTTTGTGGGGTCTGCTACTGGTACACCTCCTTCTGTCCTTTACACTTTTTATTTTCCGGAAACCGAATATACTGTACGTTGTACGTTTTTTGTAAGTAGTATACACATTTTAAATATTCTGTAAGCTTATCCTATACCATCAAATTATACATATTTACGTTGTCATTAGATACAATTTAAACAAGAGTGCACACTAAATAATAATAACTAAATAATAATAAACACTAATAAACATTTGAGAGCTATATGTATAGTTTCGATGCAAGAGTTTCTGAAATTTGCAACGTTTTTAAAATGTACCGTGCAAAATCATCATAAAATAATAAACTCTTATACATACGCAATTATTTTCTTTAATTTTGCAAACTTTAGTCCAAAACGGAATACTATACTACTATGCATTTTTTGATAAAGCTGCCATTGCTGCCGGTCTCCATCATGGCTGTTTCTGGCAGGAGGCGCAGAGCACAGCACGTTTTAAGTCACGAGTCCTATTTCCCCTGCGGTAGCACGCAACAACAAAAGCAACGCCAACAACAAAAATAATAATTTTTTTGATAGCCCAATTTTATTCCACTACTGTTGTTGCTGCTGTTGCTCGGTGCCAGACCGTTGGTTGCGTCACAGCTTCGCACCTCGCGCAACTTGGTTTCTGTGTCAGCGAGCTCCATGCCCACAACACATGCACTGTGTACTCCTATGTTTGTTTATGTATGTGCGAGAGTATACTTGTACATATATGTACACGTGTATGTGTGTAAGCGTGTGCGTGGTGCTGGCAAGTAAATTATGCCAAAGTGGACGCTGAAATGTTGCAAAACACAACAGCAGAGGCGCATAAAAAACGGTAACAAAATTACATCAAAGGTGCTTTTTATGAATATGCGAGCAAGACCTGCTTCTGGCTAACCATGGAAGGCGAGCACGCAGGCATACCAGGGGGCAGGGACTGAGTGTAAACTGAGTGGTTCCAGGTTGGATCTGGAAAGGGTTGCTACCCATTGCCAGCATGGACATCTGTGTGTTGTTTTTCTCGTATTTTTTTCGCTGTTGTCGTTGACCAATGGTCCATATAATTTTTTGGCAAGCAGCTCATATCAGTGAACTCGGGAGTTTCTGGTCCTGTTGTT